GAACACTGGGAATTAAACTCATGTGGTTAGGTTTTTAAGACAAGTTTGCTAAAAGCTTTAATACTAGCTTTTCATTGTCTTGATTTGCTCACAAAAAGATTGGAAAAATGTCTCCTCCAGAAAAAATTAATATTTGCTTGCATCGGTGCAGTAGTTTTGAAGTTATGGATGGTTCTCACTTTGAAAATGTGAGTTGTGGGGTTGTGTACTTTAAAACCTTACCTCCGCATTAAGGTAGTATTAAGCTTAATCACTCCAATCGATCTGTTTCGTAGGAACCGAAGTGGATGTCAGTGTAATTGGCGAAGCTAAATGAAACCTTTGCTATAAGACATGATAGGTTAACTTAGGCAGATGAAGCCAAGTATCTGTCCAATTGTTCAATCTAATTGTTCTACTGCCAACTCGCACTCATTTTTACCTAACCTTATCTAACCTACAAAAACCCAACTTAACCAAACGAAACAAATCAAATTCATCTTCACTAACACTAACCTGAATGAATCGTTCATCGTTACTCAATCGCATAATCTACATTTAATGAATTATTTAACAAGAAATTAGCAAATTTGAATGTATTATAACGCCATTTTTCAAGTAATTTTAAGCTGAAATTTAATTCACCATTCATTGTAAGTCTCTAACTTGCAAAATGCGTACCTGCCAAAAAGTAATAATATTTTCAAACATACTGTCGCACCCCGCCAAACTGAACTAAGCTGACGTTTGTACCTCAGATTTCACAGAATTTTGCTGAAAACATCAGAAAATTTCAAAGCAGCAGGGAAGAGAAAAATATTAAAATAAATTAGCTGTCTGCCATGAGCAACAATAACCAGACTTTAAGCAGAATTAATAATTTTCACAAATTATCAAGGGGAAAGGCTTTGTGCGATAATAACCGACATTTCAAGATATATATTTATTTTATAATTTTATATATGAGTCATAGTGTATATTTATTTATGCGTCGTAGTACCCAAAAGCCAAGCTGTCAGTTTCGCAGGCACGTGACGACCACTCCTCCGCTCTAACTCACTCTCTGGCTCGCTCTCCTGTGAGTATTGTTGGTTATGCACACCAATGAAGTATTGTATTTTTGGCAATTACCATGCGATAAGTAAATTAGTGAGCTTTTTGGTGAAATTCACAGCTTCATGCCCTCGGCCACCATTTTCCAAAATCCAAAACATAATTTTCTTCATAAAATATTTGTTGGTTGTTGTGTAAAATATTTTCCAAAAATCTACGTTGTACAATATTAAAGCAGGCTTGTTAATGTGCATATATTTAACTTGTTATTTTTGTTGCTGAATTGCGCTCATAATTTGTAGTAAACAATTTTGGCAAAGAGTCAAAATGAACTGCCAACTAGCCTAGGTTGAGCGCGCACCTACTACCAGTGCTACCAGCAGCATCTAATTTTGCTAATTTTCTATATTTATGAAGTTGTTGTTGCTATTAAAAATACTCGCTATTTGTTGTTGACGCTCCTGACACTCCTGAAGTCCACTGCTTGTCTGCTCAAGTTTGTCAGGTCGCTTGAGTTTCTCCTCTGCCCTTCCTCGCAACAAGTTGTTTGCTTGGGTTGCCCCAATTGCGGGTTTATTGTTTGTTTGGCTTTTTAAATGACACACTTTTGTTGGTGTTGCTATTTCGGTGGTGTCTTTTTGATTTTGTGTACACGCCGTTAATTACTGTTGAAGTCTTTTCAGCGCTTTAAGGGCGGTAGCTTTGCCCAAAAATGCGCAATGTAGGCTGTGTGGAATTTTCGGGTATATTTTCAATTCGTTTGCTCGACATTTACCGGTAACTGTCGGAGCCTAGCAATTATCGAGTTCTATAGTGTCAATGAGAGGTTTTTCTTTTCGTTTGTTTAGATATTTTCTTTTAATTGCACTTGTAAATTATTTAAATAGAAAGCAAGTATATATTTAATTAGCCGAAAATGACCGTTGAAACCCTTAATTGCTACAAGATACTTACAATAATAAGATGAAATTCATTGTCGCTAATTTAAAAAAAAAACCAGTATTTATAGGTAATTTTAGTTTTTTTTTAACCCTGAACAGGGCATAATTAGTTTGCCATTAAGTTTGTAACACCTAGAAGGAAACGTCGGCGACTCAATAAACTATATGTAGTTACAAATGATTAGCGTTACGAGCTGAGAATCTACTTTCTCAGTTTTTGAGATATCGATTTGAAATTTTGCACACGTCCTTTTCCCCCAAGAAACTTCTCATTTGTCGGAACATCCGATCGGACCACTTCAACATATAACTACCATACAAACTGACTGGTATCTTAAAGAAATATTGGCCGAACACATTGTTCAGATCGGATCTCCGTAGAGTATATTAGCCATTCGTACTAATGACTATAGATCTTTTTATACTCTTTTATGATGTTAAAAATGCACCTGCGAAGGGTATTACTGCTAACATATCGTATTTTTTTATTGCTAATATAAAATTCTCATGTCAAAATATCTTTTTTTTTAAGTTGGCTGGCGGTTTCTTCTTTGAAATCTCTATACGTACGTTACCATAATACATTGCCTTGAAATGCAAAACACAACCCTTTAGACGACTCAAAGCTGCTGTTTTATTTCGCTTATTATCTTGTAGTAGCTTACAGCTACAGGTTTTTAAAAAGCAGATATTTTGACGTTAGTATTTTCAATTGAAAATTAGGGTTCTTTAAATTAGTTCTCCTTTCATTTTTATTATATTCTCTTCCTTTTCCAATTTTTGCTTGTTTGAATTTAATGTTGAGGCATTTGCTTCTGAAAATGTCAACACATGCCTATAGCTCTTAGGGTAGCTAAATTATATACCATACAAAAAAACAGATTGCCTTCTCTTCCCTACTTTTTTGGAAACCAAACTACTTCAATCTTCAGCTCGCTTTGTTTAAATTTTTATCTCTGATCAAAAAAAAAAAAAATATATGCTATACAAAGTTTTTGAATTTTAATCACCGAGTATGTAGATATCTAATTAAAGTGTTATAACCTCATTTAATTTTGATTATCTTTATTTTGTACCAGTCTTTCTATTTTGCTAGTAGTTTTATGTCAGCTTCTTGCACGATTGGTCGCCTGCCAATTTTTTCTAAGAGAATGATCTTTAGTCACATATTGGTTGATCTTTTAGCTGTCCTCGCTGAGTCATCTTAATTACTAGATTTGCTCTATGTGACCTGTTTTCTTCTTCTAATGAAAATTAAACACATTGGTCAAATGAAGTTGTAACAGGAAACTTACTGCATATCTTGATTGCTGAGCCTTAAACAACTGAATAGAAATTCTCTGTATAGTGTTGATTCTTTCACTATAATCGGTAGTCGGGATCCAGCTAATTGAAATATAAGCTGTCTTCATTTCTCCAATACTCCATAAGAAAAGATCTCTAAAATAACTTAGCAACAATAATTTTTATTTGAATGTTTTTTTTTACAATACAATACAACAATAACTTATTTCCTATTTAATTTATTCGTTACTTCAGATCTTTGTCAATTCATCTTCAAAATAGTCCTGTGCTTGCAGCACTGTAAAAGAATCCGGATAGTCTTCTGGCTTCGCAGAATACGTCATCTCACAAAGTATAGTGAAGAATATAAGTATGAAGCAACACAAGAGTTTCAAGAACATTTTTTCCGCGCTCAACTTTTGGATTATTATTTTACAACAGCTTGATGATAACTAATTTTCAAGCGCCTTTATGTCTTCAAATTAGGTTTTGTATAAAAATGTGTTCTTGAAAAGTGTATATAAGTGTATAACTATGTATATGAATACTTATATATATATATATACTTACTAATACCAATATATAAATGTATATATATATGCATATATCTATGTACTTATATATAAGTATGTATTTACTATTTATAGAATAAATTCATTGTTTTGGAGCTTGATTAAACAGCTGAAACTTATATTTATTTAGTTCATTTAGACAAATGCTGATTCTAACTTTAATTCTCTTTTTAACAATGTGAACCTGGTATTTTTAAGCTAAGGTTAGTTTTGTTTATTTCCATGTTGACTTTTTATTTCATTCGAGAGAGATTTTTCCTACGGCAATCCACATGTCTACACCAGATATCCATTTTAGAGTTCCTTATAGGCAACTAGTTACAGAAACATTCTTTCATGCCCATACAATTACTACTAGGAAGATGAACTATATGCTTATCTTTCTAGTAAGATATTTACGTACGTTTGAGATACTATATTAAAATATATATTGTTTGATAAGATTAAAAGAAGCATACATTTTTCTCACAAAATTTGGTTGATTTCCTTTTAAAACGGGCCTGCTTCACAGCACAGAATAATAGTAGCCGGAAATCGCATATATCTCAGTTCTTTAAATTCCGCTAGCATGCCTATGTCCTACAGTGCGCCTTTACTGCGCTTTTCCATCCTTTATGTTCTCCTGTTTTGATCGCTTCTTAAACTCGCGTTAATTAAGATTAATCATATGGGTCGAAAACTCTCGTTCAGTATAGGAAAGGATACTTCTAAAATCTTCCAAGCAACAATCACCGTTTATAAATATTTGGAACATTTATCGCGTGGACCAGTATTCATCTCGATATTTTTTTACATCCTGTGTTGAGATTACGAAGAACTCAACGACGTTAAGTGATTAAGTCGGGCTGCCACTACGCGGCTAAGTTTATTAATCATTTCCCACATATTGGAGAAGATTATAGTGGGTTTTTATATCCTTATATGTAGCATATAAATGGTGTATTTCAGAAATATATTGGTTTGGAACTTCGCTCTATGTAAAAGAATTAGGGCTTGGCAAGTAAAAAAAATGTTGACTAAATGGTTTTTAGTATACAATTATATGAACAATAAATTTTAGAAACCTTTACGTCTATTTCAAATCTATATAAATATAAACTATAAATTTATATAGTTTCTTAAGTCAAATTTGAACTTACGTATAAAATATGTTTTCTCTCTCTCTCTTTTTAGATGAACTAAATACTCGCTTGGAATAATACAAAAAATGCACCACACACTTAAATGAAAACATCGTTAAAAGATCTAAAATTGTAAAATGGAAAAATAAAATTAAACTGACAACTAATAAAAGTTCACATTTATTGCACAGCAACAACAATGCAACAATATTGAAGTACTTTAAAAGCAGTTGGTTGTTGTTGAAGAGAATTGCAAAGAGCAACTGCTTATAATGCGTTTATCTAAAATAACCTATCATATAGGTTTCAAAAATGGTGCACATAAATTCGAACAACAACAACAGCAACAGCTCGAGCATACAGCAAAACTTCAAGCGACGGCTGGTGGCAAGGTTTGGTTTGACTCCGAGAGCTTTAAACTTGAGATAGATTGTTTAAAAATATGTTAAAAGATATTGAATCTTTAAGATAGTAAGGTTACAGTTTTGAAAGTAGTAGATTTGTTTTGGGGGCCAATCCATGTTAACTACTTACTTAAGTCTCCTGGTACAGTTTTGCTAAATTAGAGCTTGGAAGAAATTTTAAACAATGTTACTCTACCAGTTTTTATAAACTTTAATATAATTTCAATCGATAATATATCTGTGACGTGCATGACCGATCGCCAACTTTAATTTGTGATGTGCACCTTAAAATTATCTGCCTAAAGGCAGGACCAACAAAATTTGAGTCAATTTTGGATTACTTGTGAATTTTATTATACGGTTTTAATGGATTTAGTCAGACGAGGTGTTTAGCTCAGTCTCTTGACTACCTTAGAAGAAGTATCTACCGAAATCCAGCAATAAGAACAGCTTTACATCAATTCGAAAGGTTTTGAAAAAAGTAATACTGTAACTTTCCGCTCCCAAAACAGTCGGAACTACATAACTAGAAAGGCTGAAGAACTGTCAATCCGTAAGCATTATTCAAATACAAATGAAGCCAATAACAATGATTTTCATAATTCCCAAAACTCAAACCTCTTCACACTTCCTCGTTTATACTCGTCTTCTGTTTTCAACTTAGTCATGGGACGCGGTGTAAGAGTCCAGTATAGTGAGAAGATTAGTTCTGAAAGATATCTACTTTTAGGGTATTGGTTTCTTGGTACGACATATAAGCGGATTCAGGGTCAATGGTGATTGACTACTTTAAGTTACCTATTTAGTTAGGTCTGAAAGTTGACGACTTTGATCCTTTTGTGAGATGAATAATTTATTAATTTTGGTCGATTTCGTTCATGGTTGTATATTTACCCCAATATATAACTTTACCTGTTTCGAAATGCTAAGAATCCAGTTCTTTCATAGCTCCGTTATCCAATTTTTAGGACTCCAAGCCGCAGGCTAAAAGTCATCATGTTCAAGATATCTCAGAAAAATCGTTCCCATTACTATTTTAAAGCCTAAAATTGAGGTTAGGTAAAGTTCCATCGACGAGAACATTCGATGATCAGTGCTGATACTTTCTCTAGACTTCAACTAAAATATTTTAGTTAATAAATAATGGGTATGTAAGAACAAGCATCTAATGTCTTCTCTCCCACCTTCCGCAGCGCTTCAGCGGCAGCCATAGCAACAACAGCAATAGCAATTGTGGAAGCGCACGTGGCAGTGGCAGTGGCAGCGTCAGCGGTGTTAGCGGTGGCGTCGCCACCAACAATCGTAACAGCATTGGCAACGGCAGCTGTGTGTCGACGTCGACAACCTCAGCAGCAACAACAGCAGCGGCAGCGGGAACTGGCAAGCGACGCAAATCAAAGCCGACAAAGTGCTTTAGTAGCACAGTGTTTCGCTGTTGTATACCTTGTCGCGGGGGCGGCTCAGCAGCCCCCGCTACAAGTCCGCCCCATTCACCCGCTACGCCCGCGGATGATGTGAATAACGGCACTAGCATAACCGCAGCAACCCAGAAGAAGTACGCTAAAGCAGCATATGAAAAGAAACGTGATAGCGGCAACATTAATGCACCTTATGCCGAACTAGATGCAGATGTAGACGTTGACGTCGATGTTGAAGCAGCCGCAGTAGCAGCGAACGGCAAAAAACATTCGCTAGCCGACACAATTGCCACCTCGGCAACCACACCCATATCTTTGAAAACTATTATAAACGACAGTGATGAACTCGAACCGCCGACTTTAAGTGTAGCCGACCTTGCAGCCGCCACACTTGCGACCGGTATCGTAGCGCGTAAAGCCGAACCGGAAACACTGAGTGACGCTAGTGTCTCACCGACCGCTGCTATACAGCAGCCGCCATTTTTGAGTGCGCCTATTAACGCCATTCAGAGCTTGAATGCCATCGGCAGCGCCGCACTAAGCATCAGCGTACAACAAATTTCACCAACTAAAACGTCTAGCAACGTGACGACAGTGACGCCCTTTACCACTGTTATTGGGCAAACAAGTAACGCAGCCACACTGCAACAGCAACAGCAAACTCAACAACAACAACAGCAGGTACAACCACCACCGCCACCCGCCGCGCAATCAGCGCCACGCGTCTCGCAATCACAAACCTCGCCACTACCGCACATCAAAGAGGAGGAAGAATCCGAGCATATCGGCAACCGGCATCAGTACTCACCGCCCGTCGACGCCGAGCAACCTGTTGGCGGCGCCTTAACTACGGTTAGTGACAGCAGCGAAAGTACAAACGCACCCCAATCCACAAATACTTCACTCTCAGCGCCGACAAGCGGCCATCAAGAATTAGTCACACCAAGCGCTTCAACTCCTTCGCCACGCATAAAACTCAAGTTTCGCAAGCAGCACAAATCCGCTTGGTCTCGTTCGGTACTCACGCCCAGTAGCGCCACCAGCAGCGTTGCTGGTGTGGGCGGTAGTAGCGGAGGAGGCGTCGGCGGCAGCGGCGGCGGCGGTAGTAGCGGTGGTGGAGTTGCTGGTGGCGGCAGTGGCAGTGGCGGCGCTACCTCCAACGAAACACTCGCTTCGAACGGCAGCAACACCAACACAGCGACCAGCGTCAGCAGCGGCGGTTTACATCGCATCTCATTGTCTTCGGTGCCACACGCGTCTAGCTCTGCACAGCTTCTACCAGCTACCAAGATGCAGGCCGAACAGGGCTCTATTGGCGATTTGCAGAAATACCACAGCAGATATTTGAAGAATCGACGGCATACACTAGCGAATGTTCGGTGAGTACCACAAGCAAGCTTAATTTATACACCTATATTTAATACTTTGAAATATATTTGAAAGAATATTTGCTAAATTTTTTCAAATCTCACATTTATTCCTTTACTTATCTCTACGGTAAATATAAATGTTGTACGCCACTCGCATTTGCAAATTCTTTAATGCAACGTTTTAACTTGCAACAGAGATAAACGCTTGTAAAAACGGTTTAATCGAAGCCACCGACGTTCGTTATTGCTATGTGACATTCGTGGCACGTGATCGCCATACGAATTGTTCAAATACACTCAGTTTACGATGAGTGGCGGGTGTTGTCACTTGAATTGACTACAAATTGAGTATTCCTTGTCATCCTGACGACATTAACATGACCAGTATATGTTGAACGACAAAAATAATAACAAGAAAGAAAGGGCCAAGTTCGGATGAAACCGAACAATTGATACTCTTGCTACTTGTAAAGCTAAAAGACGGGAAAATACTTTCAACTTCATATTAAAGAATTCAGCATTCCATATTCGACGAAATCGTCAATGAATTACAATCAAATTTGTATTTTATTAAGTCATATTATAGGTCACTTAGTTTTATTATTATATTTAACTTCGCGTCAGCTAAAATTGTATTAAAATCATCTTCAAATTAGATATATCTGACATAAACTTAACCGAAGAGACTAAATATAATACAATGAGTTGAAGTGCATCAGAAGGCCGGAATTGAAGATTTTAAGGCTATGAACCATTTTCGGTGCTAGAACATTAATATAATACGGTTTGTTAGAATAACGGAAATTATTATATGTAGTACAATAAAATTTCACATATTTTGGGCATTAAAGTAAAGTACCTATATCCAATACTATATGTTCAGTTAACTTTACTAAGATATCTCACGCAATGACCGATATTTTCTGTAAAAAGTCAGTAGTAGGCTCTGTAGTCCATATATCCGGCAACTGGGGGCTTGAATAGTTATGGTGCGATTTTGACAGCTTTTGGACTTGAGATGACATACCTTAAAGACAATATTTCTGCAAAGTTGTATCTTGATATATTAATTGGTTCTTGAGTTGTATACTGGTAAGTGAAAAAATGAGATGGAATTTTAGGTTGTGTTTTATGGGAAGTAGGCTTGATTGTAGTCCGATTTCGCACTGAAACATCAAGATAAAATTACATACCAAAATTGGTCGATATCGGTCGAGTAGGTACTGAGATATGGATTTTCACAGAAATGTGGGGGTGTCACACACATGGTCGAATTTGGACACCGGCTCCTATAAAGCTGTAGCCACATGTTGCAAGAGTATAACAAAATTACCCGAAGGTTTGATAAATTTGATAAACAGAATATATAAAAGAAAAACACATTCTTCAAACTTTGGTTGTACCATTTTCACAGCGTAACATATGTAGGAATGTCAAAATAATCCTTGGTAAAGTCGGTGCGGAGATATTGTGATTTCACCAAAATGTCGGCGGATCCACGCGCATCGTCCAATTTTGTCCGGTTCCTATAAAGCTATCTTGTGCCATCCTAGGTATAAAATTGAATGGCTCTACCGCATTTAGTTATGGAATTATCGCACTTTTAGTAGTTTTTAAGAAAACCGTTATAGAGGGAGGGGGGCTGGTTATTATCCGATTTCACCTATTTTTAGGCTGTTGAAAGGGGTGTCAAAATGATTTGTCCTGTGCAAAGTTTGTTAGATATATACTTTAAACCTATTAGGTGGCGGGTCCACACCCACGTTGAAAAATTTTCGAACCACAGGCGGCACTCGTTTTTGCGATCCGGGGTATCAAATATAAATTTTTTATCTTAATTTACGGTGTTATAGCAGTTTATGGGTTTTCGATTAATGGCGTTTTATGGGCGTGGCAGTATTCTGATTACACCCATCTTCGAATTTGACCATTTTAGGCCAAGAAACACGTGTGTCTAGTTTTATTACGATATCTCAGTTTTTATTCAAGTAACAGCTTGCATGGAAAAACGAACGAAAGTAACCCGGATTTCAATTCGTTACGTCACCCTGATCATTTATACTCATATATATATAACCTTATATCTAGTGCGATTATTTTTAAGTGATACAAAACAACCGTTAAGTGAAAAAAACTATTATACTCTCTAGCAACATGTTGCAAGAGTATAAAAATATTGAAATAGAAGGAGCGTAAACAGTTTGAGTATTTAACCCAATAAACAGCAGAATTTTTTTTAACATAGTTGTAGACGGGGAGTTTAAAACTCTGCCTTTTAAACTTTAAAATATTGGGTAGTTCTGCTTTTTTATCGGGGATATATTTTATTATTCTCTTTTGCATTGCTCCTGGAGCTCAGTTGTCTTTGTCTAGTCAAACTAGTACCAGATCATCCTTATTGTTCTGAGGTCACGGATTTTTACTTATATTTCTCTTACTGAGTGTCTTATCCAAGCATCTCTCTTATCCGAAAACCGAGTAATTAATTTGTATAAGTTTTTAAACAGTTTTGAGTCTAAGTATTCTTGTTTTATTCTTGAAAATTTATCTTAACCTTTTGAAACAGATTTCATGATTTCTCAATTCTAAGGTCTACTCCATTTGAATGATCCAGAGCTGAAAGTATCTAGCAGGTCTTTGGTTTTTACTGGCGCAACTCTTTTGAGTCGGGATCAAGTTTTCAATAATTAAATTCTATAGTTCAAACTCTGATAATCGAAATGAACTTGATATTAATGTAATCTATCAGCTAATTGTGAACTATTTGATATCCTTATGGTCCAATGTCGAAAGAAAAATAGAAGTGTTTTTAATTTTTAAGTTAAGTTTATTTAATTAATTATGACCACTTAACCTCTTCTTGCTGGTCGTTTCCTGGCTGCTGCTGGTCTTCGAGCCACCGCTGCTCTCTTGGTTGTTGCTGGTCTCCTGGCTGTAGCGGGTCTCTTGGTTGTTGTTCGCGCAGCTGGTCTTTTAGGTGCTACAGTTGTTCTAGCTGATACTCCATCTGCATGCTTTCTGGTTGTGCCATTTACATTACGTCTTCTACGTGCATTTTGAGCAGCACGTCTTCTTCTTCGAGCATTTGCGATTCTTCTTTTACGGACACTTGGGGAAACAGTAACGCGTCTGCGCCTTCTAACAACTGCTCCAGGTTTACCTTTAAATTGATGAAATTAAATATTTATTTAGCTTTTAGTACCCTTCCTAAGTTGAAGAAGATTGGTATCCCTTAACTTACCTGTGCTGGGTTCTTCCGCACTTCCGCTGTATGCACTGCTGTCATAATCAGACGAGTAGTCTAAGGCAGATTCATCCTCGGTGGTATCGCCTTCAGCTGGAGAGTCTGTCGAATCATCGTAGACGTAATCATCATCATATTCCTCGCTATAATCACCATCATCACTTTCTGCTGGACTGGGTGTGCATGTAGTGCTGCCACTACCGACCACGGCTTCGTCTTTAGCTACGGGAGCTTGTGTGGGATTATCACTTAATGCTTCAGTGGCATCTGCAGCATCATCAGTTTCGGTGGATTCATCATCATCAGCATATGTTGGATCGTCTGCACTCCCATCTGGAAGATTCGAAGAGTTTTCGTCGTCGTAATACTCATCGCTATATTCGGCCGAGTCATATTCATCATCGCCTGATGGAGCTGCTGTGGTTGCAGCCGTATCGGTCGCTAGGACGCTGGTGCTGGCCAACGCGGCAAACACAAAAGCGACTAGAAGTAAAAACTGTATCCTCAGCGCCATTTTTACAGATCTTTTACGCTCGAGCTGCAAGTTTTAACTGCTTTTTTAACAGCGGCGCAAGTTGGTTATTATATACCAAAATTTTTAAAATAACAAGTTTTGTATATATTTCTGGATAAAACTACACACAATGCAAACTCAAAGAAAGTTGTTCGAAATACACTGCTTTTCATAGTTTTTAACTTTCTAAAGTAAACACTAAAAACTATTATTTTTTGTAGTCAGTTTCTAAACAAGCCAACGGGTTGGAATGATTTCTTAGTTTTGTGACGTACTTCGCCCTGCTCTTTTCATCTTCATCCTTAACCAGTAGGATGCTACGATTTATATGTATGTTAACGTTACGAACAGCCTGTTACTACCCTTAGAATTTTTGACGGTAACCTCTGTATTGTCTCAATATTTGTTGCATAGGTTATACCCTACAGTTGAATACCATACATTGAAATCGATTTAAAAATTGCATTTTAGATTAGTACTTTGTAATCGAGTTTTAGCCCAGAGTTCTTATGTAAAGGCCAATTTAAGCTAACTGCTTTTAATTACACTTGTAGTATTTTGGCATCTACTTGTCTTTTCCAGGTGCATAGCAATATTCCTTGAATTCAAATGCTATCCTAATTTCATTAGTAATTCCGTTAACTTGTTCTACAGTACCATGTTTTTCACGAAACCAAAATTGGTGTTCTGGTATCACTGTGTTACGCTGGAGAAAAGGAGATATCTATGATAACAAAATTCCGTCGAATAACTTAGAAAACAGGGTACAGAACAATATATGCAAGCATAAAATTAACAATACTCTGGGCTTGTACGATGGAAACAAGTTTTTAAAAGAGAAATAATTATTCTTCTACTTTTCTGAATAATATTTTTATCCCAAAATTGATTTTAGCGTCGCCAGTACGGAGTTTACCATTACAAGAGCAGCAATATGATCATTCTTGTGTCCCTGTCTCTGTCTTCAATCATTTCGTCCCCATCCTTGCCTTTTGAGAATGCTGGTAGTGGCCGAAAGATTCTACACATATATATGGTGTCATGGGGTTTGAAATATACCTATTGAGCTATATGATCTCTCTGAGCTCTAGTCTACAGTAAAGTTTAAAATGTACTTCTATACTTAACAAAATGTGATATATATTAGTATCTATAATTCAAGGAGGTGAGAAAATCAGCTAAGTTTTATCATTGTGAGCTTCTGAGTTCAATGAGTTTGCTAGATAGTCCTGTAGCCCTTTTAGTAAAGCTCTTTTATGGAGCTGACATTCGTCCAAGTGTGAGTTTTCCAATATAGTAATTATTGGGGATAATTTGCTGTTATATTATATAATAATGATGACATCAGAAAAGCTCACTTGGCGACGATGGGTCATTCAATTAACAAAAATGAATAGATTGAAGGTACATATATTAGAAGATAGGGCAGAAAAGTTTATTAACATGAGTAATTAAAGAGTAGTATTGAGTCATTCGTGAATAGTGTACTACAGATACTAATAAATTACTATACCGTTTCTTAAGGACGTGGCCGTATTGCCAAAATTAGTGTTTTTTTTTAGTTTTGGCATGGTTCTGAAAAAAGCATAAAAAATATTCGGAATCTGTAAATTGTTACTGATTCATAAAACATATGGCTTAAATATGTGCAGTTTGAATTTGTTTTTTCGATTTTTACAGTATTTTGAGTAAAGTTATAACTGAATTCAAGGTTCTGAACCTGAAATATATTTCCTAGAAGTCTACTACTTGAGCGCAAAGGTAGACGACCACTTAATGACTTGAAATTATTTAACTGTTTCAGCAAATAACCGGTCATATTAATATCTTAAAAATGTAGATGACATCAACCAAGTGTTTGTGGTGCGTATTCTTGCCTTATCATGACCGTAAGAGTGCCGCTTTTAAAAAATACCGAAAAAGTAGTATACAACTTAGATATGTATACATTAAAGCTTTATTATAAACTTTCTTGGTGAAAAAACGATTTGGCATGGATTCCAAAATGAAGCTAGCCTCGCAAGGTCTTTGTGTGTTTGTTTCCTTTTGGCGGAGATCAATATCTTCCATGATAACAGATTATCTATAAAATGGCGAGTACGACTGATGTTGACTGAACCTTTGCGAAAACGACACTCGTTGTAGATCCAGTGATAACCCAAGCCCGGAATTCGTCCATATTATTGAAACCTAGCTAAATCTTTTTTCTGATGGTCAATATGTAAAAATTTGCAATTATTTTCAATTAATTTTTATTTTTATACAACAAAGTTTTTTAGCGCGAATGGTTGGTTTTTAATAAAATTTTAAAAAGAGGGCTAATTTAAAACTTTCACGACTTAACCTCTCCTATTAGCAGCCCGCCTTCTATTACCTGCTGCCGCTCGTCTTCGAGCTGCTGCTGGTCTCCTGGCTATTCTGCCGGCTGCTGCTTGTCTTCTAGCTACTGCTGGTCTCCTGGCAGTTCCGCCGGCCGCTGCTCTCCTAGCTGGTGTCCTGCCTGCAGCTCGTCTGGCTCTGGCATTTCTTCTGGCTCTGGCATTTCTTCTGGCCCTGGTATTTCTTCTGGCTCTGGCATTTCTTCTGGCTGCGGCAGCTCTCCTTCTCCTTGGAGCATTAGGGTTTAATCTTCTACGTCTATTGGCGGCGGCTCTTGTGGTACGGCGCCGTCTAACAGGTGTTCCACTGGCAGCTTGTCCTTTATTTTAGGCGAATTACGGATATATTTAGTTTCGGCTCATTTAAATTGAATAAGATTTGTATCTCTTAACTAACCTGCGGACTCTTCAGAATCTGCACTGCTGTCAACATCGGATGAATAGTCCTCAGTAGATTCATTCACTGTGTTCAGAGTATCGTTATTAATGTTGGTATGAAACATACAAGCCTTTTTAACAATATCTGGATCTTACCTGGAGATTCAGGGGCATCTGCAGCATCTGCAACATCATCAGTTTCGGTGGATTCATCATCATCAGCATATGTTGGATCGTCTGCACTCCCATCTGGAAGATCCGAAGAGTTTTCGTCATCATAATACTCATCGCTATACTCGGCCGAGTCATATTCATCATCGCCTGATGGAGCTGCTGCAGTTGCAGCCGTATCGGCAGCATTGACCCTGGTGCTGGCCAAAGCGGCAAACACAAAGGCGGCTAGGAGTAAAAATTTTATATTTAGTGCCATTTGTACAGAACCTTTACGCTCGAGATACAAGTTTAAACTGTTCTTTAGCAGCGGCGCAAGTTAGTTGTTATATAATATGGTTTTCAAATGAACAAAGTTTGAAAATATTTTTCGATTACTGCAAAATATGCTTACAAAAGACGGTTCTGCAAATGTTGTTTTTAAGACTTGTCAAAATCGAAAGTAAACAGTAAAAAATATTAGTTTTTATACCCAAAGCATAACATTTACAATTGGTGTATATTTTTTCGACTCTAGGATTGCTTAGAAAACGTCGTAAGTAGATACAGTATAAGCTTCCATAAAATGCGCTCACAGCTTGAACTAGGTGCTACCCCGACGCCAATACTATCAGTTTTTATGCTGAGTTACAGATTTCTAGTTGCCGGAACCTTATTGGGGATAGAAATATTTAGAACGGAATTTACTTTTTTCTTTAACAAAAAAAACTTCCTCCATTTTCCAGCTTCAAAAATAGTTAAGGCAAGTGATAGTGACAGTTTGAGCTTGACAATAATCTGGGATTGCACGAACTTTACAGGAGATGAATAATAATTATTTAAATTTTCTTCCTCAATAAAACCTTCTTTTCGAAAACTTAAGTTGGTTTCAGCGACTAGGAAGTACATGGGCACCTTTAGTAAGTAATATAAACTTAAATATTTATCAACTCTCTAGAAATAGTTACATCATCAATGTGATCATCCAAAGACATGGGGACCTTTGTCTTCAGCATTTTGGCTTCACCGTTGTTAAATAGCTTATCTACTTCCTTTGAGAATGCTGATAGTGGCCAGGGATTATATGTATGTAATATTTGTTATGGGTTCAGAATGTACTTATTGAGCTATATGATATCTATGATCTCTATGTCATCTACAGTAGAGTTCTAAATGTACTTCTATCCTTGACAAAATGTGATGCGTTATTAGCTATAATTGAGGACAAGGTTGATAAAAGCAGATAAGTTTTATCAGTGTGTGCTTTTTAGCTCAATAATTCGGATCCTGATTTTGTTCTATGTCTCAATTTAAAATGTCTGTGGTTTTAAAATCTTATCTTAAAGAAGCTAGCATTGCATCCCATGTTTGTCTAATTTCATTTTACAGGGTTTTTTTCTTTATTTTAGCACAACAAATAATTACACAGCTGTGGAGTTTTATTCGTTTTGGGGATTTTGGCTAATCAAATATACCTGCTTCCTATTATTTTTATACTCTCGCAACATGTTGCACAGAGTATATTAGTTTTGTTCACCTAACGGTTGTTGGTATCACCTAAAACTAATCGAGATAGATATGGAGTTATATATTCATATATAAATGATCAGGGTGACGAAACGAATTGAAATCCGAGTAACTGCCTGTCCATCCGTCCGTCTGTCCGTGCAAGCGATAACTGAGTAAGCTTGAGATATCTTAATAAAACTTGGTACATGTATTTCTTGGAACCCAAGGGGGATTGATATGCTGCAGATGGGCGTAATCGGACCACTGCCACGCCCACAAAACGCCATTTAACGGAAATCTATAAAGTATCATAACTAAGCAATAAATTAAGATACAAAATTGTAATTTGGTGCAAGGGATCGCACTGGTCAGGGGCATTTGTAGGCGTGGCCCCGCCCTCTAAATGGTTAAATGTACATATCATCCAAATCACTGAAGCTAACTCAACCAAACTTGCTGAGAAGAAGTCTTTTTAGCACTTCTTTATGCACTGTGAATATGTTAAATGTGCGATAACTCACTCAATAAGAAGAAACATTAAATTTCACAGCCAAGATGACTGGGGTTGGCTTTATGGAAGCCGGCGTTAAAAATTGGACAATGGATGTGGCACCGTCCACTCTAATTCTTCACCTTATAGTATAACAACAAAATGTTGTTAAAATCGGTATGGCTTTTCAAGGACCCCGACACCAAATATGTGGATACCAGTGCGTATGGCTGACATTTTGCCGAAAATATGGGTCAATCTGTGAGATATATTACTGAATTGAATAAAAATGGGTAAAATGAGGTCAATACTTCTTTAAGATCTAATATCTTATATACATTTTTTTAAACTTTCGGTTGACTTTATACTGCATGTATCCATCAATATGATAGAAATTTATTTTTATTTGCAATCCAAATACATATATATATATATATATTAGTTAAAAAATAACATTATTTATATATATATAGATATAGTGATAACGTCAAAATACCCGTAGTTCACTTGGCAACCACGTGTCTTCCAAGCAAATATATCGGATAAATTCGAAGCTATGTGTGAAGATGGGCCGAAAAGATTATTACCATGAGTAATTTAAGATCACTTGAGTTATTCGTCACTACTGTACTATATATACTATGATAAGTAATTGACTATATTGTAGATAAAGTAAATCTCAAGAATATATTTATGATATCAGCCAGGTATTTGAGTAGGGTACTAGGAGAAATCATTGGCAAGACTATAAGATTGACACTTTTTAAAAATCCAGTAAAAATAGTATATGACTGCGATACGGTATATTTAATATTAAAAGTATGCCGAAATCTTACAATAGATATAAATCTAAGCATTAATATACACTTTCTTGCAAAAAAAAATTCGTTGGTAAATATTCGAAGCTTAACCTTGTTTCGGCAGCGGTCTAGTGCAATCAGATGGGTTCGTATGTCTGTAGCTAAAGAGATATCTACGTTCGACTGGTTCCATGTGGTGGGGTTAAAAGTCTCACGTTATAAAAACTTGTCTATATAATGGAGAAGTATAATGGAATGCTCTTCACTTTTTTTTTGACCGCCTTGCTTCTGCGAGGCTATGGTTAAAACACCATGGCTCTTAAGATATTGTCTGTCTGATTAATACACCTTTTGGAAAACGAGTTCAGGTAACCCTTTCTACAAGTATATAGGAAGTGCATTGAACCTTGACTCAATATTTGAAAAGTATAGCTTCTGATATAATCCTAATTATTTTTGAAGTTTTCATGTTCCTTATCAATATAAACGATTTCCTAAATATTTTTAATGAAATTGCTTTTATTTATAATATATTTTTATAATATTGTGAGTTCATTAGCCCGTCTGGCATTCTGTGATAGGCAATTTTAAAGCTATTCAGATTATTATAAAAGTAAATATTTATGTTGTTTGTATTATTACTCTTTTATTATTCTGATTAGCTTAAATTGGTTGCACGTTTGTTGAAATATTTTTCAATAACTAGTTAAGTGCTGGATACTAATATTATATTTCCAGCTTCGTTTAATTTGTGGCGTGTTCATTTTTTATCGCTGCTGTTACTTCGTCATCATTATCCTCACTATTATCTTGATGCTCGGCATCATCTGATAATTAATCGCTCGAGTCATTTTCTTCGCTTGAGTCATTATCTTCGTTTGAGTCATTTTCATCGCTTGAGTCGTTTTCTTCGCTTGAGTTATTTTCATCGCTAGAATCATTTTCTTCGCTTGAGTCATTATCTTCGTTTGAGTCTTTTTCATCGCTTGAGTCATTATCTTTGTTTGAGTCATTTTCATCGCTTGAGTCGTTTTCTTTGCTTGAGTTATTTTTTTCACTTGAGTTATTTTCATCGCTAGAATCATTTTCTTCGCTTGAGTCATCATCTTCGTTTGAGTCATTTTCATCGCTTGAGTCGTTTTCTTTGCTTGAGTTATTTTTTTCACTTGAGTTATTTTCATCGCTAGAATCATTTCTTCGCTGAGTCATTATCTTCGTTTGAGTCATTTTCATCGCTTGAGTCGTTTTCTTCGCTTGAGTTATTTTCTTCACTTGAGTCATTTTCATTGCTAGAATCATTTTCTTCGCTTGAGTCATTATCTTCGTTTGAGTCATTTTCATCGCTTGAGTCGTTTTCATCGTTTGAGTCATTTTTCTCGTTCTCGCTATCATTCTCCTCATTATCGCCATTATCACCATTATCACCATTATTACCATTATCACCTACATTTGCACTATATCCTTTGTCGTTATCGACTGCATTATCTCCACTTCCTTCAAATTTATCTTTATCTAGCTCGTAAATTTCATGAATGTCGTTGCTAGCCAGATGTGAGCTGTGTTGATTGTCACGTTCATTTCTTCTATATATGTCACCTTTATAGTGGTCCAAATCACCGTTATACTCGAGACCTGCATCTTGTTCACTTGGTTTGTTTTCATTCAAAATGAGCTCCAAAATTTCCGGAAGAGTCAATTCTCCAAAAATACTGATCGTATCGACAGATTCTTTGAAACTGGAAGTTCTTCTAAGAATTCCACATTACCACTTCCGTTATCCAAGGCAGCCGCCTGCGTGAACGAGATTGCCAAGAAGGCGTTCACAAGAAATATAAAGATTTTCATTATTTTTGTGCTTCTTGTAATATTATTAATTTGCTATTTTATAAAATGTAACGTCAGTAAATGATGAAGCTGTTTAGAAAATCGTTTCTTTTAATTTCTGGTAAGAATATTTCCATCGATATGGAACCTTGTAAAACAGACTGTAACTCAGCACTAATATATGTTAGCATTGACATTGAAATTAATAGTTTTATATTCTTTAAGTTCGTTTGCTCAGCTGAAAGGAAGAGCTATTTTGTTAATTTCAATGTAACTGAAGGTCAAGCTACTCTCAACAGAACGGCTCCAACATTTGTTATACCCACGTAACATGTTCATCTCTTTGCTCGTTATTATTTACCAAATTATCTCACACAAGCACTGTCTCTTTCATACAAATATATCTGTGAATAAAATCATGACAGTTTATTCATTTCATTATCGGTAGAAAATTAAATTTTATTTTTATTTTTAAATTAGACATTAAAACTAATCTTCATTATAACAACTGCCGACTTATGACCTAACATCAAAATCGTGTCTGATGCTTTAGTTTATCCTCTTGGTCACGTGTGAAACTGAAACTCACGGAAGTCTGTAGTTTATTTCTAGTATTCGATCGCCCTCATGCGATCAACCCACATCCATAGAAACTCAAGGATCATGAAATAAAGCTCGAAGAAAGCTCGCATCGGTAAGGCCCAACCTCATGAGACACTTTGTAAACTCCTCGAGCATCCTCGGCGTACAAAAAAGTTAGGCTCTCAATATTTAGTAACTGCAGTCCTTAATTATATGATTATATTATTATTGTACTAATTAATCTTTGGAAGAGTTAGTCTTTTCAATCCCCACAACAGCATTTGATGTGGTTATAATAGATATTTGAAAGCGGAAGACGCCAACTTAAATATTTTCGTTTCTTTTTCTTCAGCTTTATTTAGTGGATAAATAAATTTCAACAACACGACATTCTTTTTCCAGCACATGTGTTCAAACAATTCGATATATTATACCATGTATACAACGAACAGTGGTGTGGAAAACTAGCACAGCTTAATAGCTCAGTGCACATGGGTTTATTACTGTTTATGTATTCTACAAGTATTTTGTTTAACTGTAATATTCAGCTTAGGATCGATTGAGACTGAAAATAAATTCTTTGAATGGGTAACCCTGCCGAAACATATATGGTAATAATTATTTATAAGGTTGTTTTTGCATTTTTGGCGAAAATTACTATCAGAAAATAGAGATTTTATAAAACATAAAGCCCATCAAATTTAAAAACATATGTGTTGCTATTTTGACGAAGAATATACGTTTGAAAATTAGGTTGCCTACTCTAAATTAAGTCAAAATAAGATGAAAGAATAATTATGTAAATCAAAAAAATACACTGAGTTTGGGTCATAAAAAGTAAGTTTATTCAACTTTAAGAAGAGAGAATTTTTCGTAAAATATAAAAATGGAAATAAAAACTTGATTATTTGAATTTTTACATAAATTTTGGGGTTAGTTGAAAAAGTTGAAGATCTTTTTACCTGTAACCATTGAACTTTTGCTATAAGACTTGTAATCTTGCCGGAAATCGAGACGAGTTTTAATCGAAAACTGGAAAAAGTAAAATTTGTTTTAAGTTTTCTTGTAAAAAATTATGCAAAATGAAAATTACGTTCGATGAAGTGTGAGCTACTGAGTTATTGGAAAGATTCGACGTCGGTTTGAAAAAAAAGAGCAGATCGGCAGGATTTCTGTCATGATGGTAGCATAAATCAAGCTATGTTTTTAACATTTCTATAATAAAAGCTCTTTTCGGTTAAAATGTATTTAAAGTAAGGTTAATAAAGAGTGTGAATTGAACTCCTTTATTGACCTCTAGTTGCTTATTCTATACACACTTCTGTAGAGATCTGTATGTGAATACGTAAACACAGCGCACTTATATAACTCAGAGTGCATTTGAAACAATATGTCTTAACAACAAAAATATTTTCAAGAAATACGTTTCTTTGTTTTTTATTTACCTAAAAAATATTTAATTTTTATTTGAAAAAAAAAGTTAAGTAAACATCTTCTTAAGCTTCGAACACATTTGATATTTCTAATAAAGTACCGTTTTATGTTGAATTGAAGGTTAGTGTTGAAAAAACTATCCTTAGCCTTGTAAACATTTCTAGTCGTATCAGTTTTCATAATGCGGCACTTGTCTCTCATAACCTTCACGTTCATTTCAATGACACTGACGCACAGTTATACACATGCCCGAACAAATAATAAAAGTGTAGAAGAAAGTGTTGCGCAGTCGAGCGAAGCAAAAAGCGCCGAATACGACGGAGGTGGTTACGAAGGCGAAGTGGGCGACAATGATGAAATTATGAGTCAACGGAAAGCCACAGAAGGGTGCTATGTAGAAGATCTTCAAGATAGAGAATACGGAGGTGAAATACTCGATCATCGAGAAGATGTCGAAGTAAATTTGTAAATACTCATAAAAAGATTGTGATACAAGTATAGTTATAGAAATATAAATAAAACGAGCAAGGAAAGGCTAAGTTCGGGTGTAAGCGAACATTTTATACTTTCGCAAGTTGCAAGAATTAAAAGCTCTGCAAATTCCTTCAAGTACTGGCAAAACTTTATATTTATTAAACAAGTAAGGAAGGGCTAAGTTCGGATGCAACCGAACATTTTATTCTCTTGCAACTTGCACAAGTCAACGCCCGGAATATTCTTCAGGTGCTGGCAAAACTTAATCTTACAAAATGTTGCGAAAAAAATAAAAATTAATTTTTTGATAAATTGCAATAAAATTTAGTGAATATACCATTTATGTTGAAGCTTACAAATTTATACTTAGTTTTATTGGTATATTTTAGTTCAGACCAGCTGAAACGATATAAAAAACATCTTCAAATGAAATATACATTTTGACCAACCTGAACGATTTAAATACGAAAATCATTTTATGGGGTATATTGGGGCCGAATACATTTTGTTTTGAAGCAATTTTATATATTAGGTGTAGCCGATTGGGTTCGGCTAAAAAACTTGTTTGACAGTTTTGTGATTGGTTGATTCAGTTTTGTTTGAGATGGACACTAGCAAAGAGAAAATAGCTATAGTTTACAGTTTTTCTTCGATAAGGGCAAAAACGCAAGCCAGGCGGCTGAGAATGTGAATAGCGTTTATGGTCCTGATACTGTAACAGCCAATCATGCGCAATTTTGGTTTCGTCGATTCCGTTCCGGTAATTTCGATGTCAAAGAAGCACCACGCACTGGAAGAATTATCGAAAAAATCGATAAAATAATAAAAATCGCCAAACCGTTTGAAACCATTATTCAAATGAATACGAAAAAAAAAATAATTAAAGCATTAAATTTCATGCAAAAATAATGGATTTTTTTTACCAACACCTAATTTAAATACAAGTAGTACTCACTGACCGACATATTCAGCATAAAACTTGTTAGAATAGAGAAAATCATAATAAGTAGTATATGGTAGTTGAGGGTAGTATTGACCCGATTTTATAAATTTTTCACTGCATACCACTGTTTCATTACGGTACCTTACATACCATCACCAATTATAGGGAGTAAAGTCATCCGGATGTTCGAAAATCTCGATATTAGTTATATGAGTTATATATTAGAATCTGCTATCCTTTGTCGAATTCCAGTAAAAATTTCATGACATTTTATTTATTGGAAGTGAAGTTTTTGCGTTTTAAGTCATCGGTGCGAAAATGAGCTTCGAACAAAGAGCCAACATTAAATTTTGTTTTAAAATTGGTAACACTTTTACCGAAACGTTTCAATTGATGAAACAAGTTTATGGCGATGATTGCCTATCCCGTAGCAGAGTGCACGAGTGGTTTAAACGTTTTCAAAGTGGTCGTGAGGACATAAATGATTATGATTCCAAGGGTATTGTCCACAAAGAATTTGTTCCACCCGGCCAAAACGTTAATGCGGTATTCTACCTTGGATTTTTGAAGCGTTTGGTGCGCCGTATTCGACGTGTTCGGCCCGAATATCGTGAAGATGGAAGTTGGCGTTTGTTGAACAATAATGCGCCGTCTCATCGATCGACGCTTGTGGCCAATTATTTGACCAAAAATCACATTTTAACAATCAACCACCCCCCGTATTCACCTGATATGGCACCGTGCGACTTCTACCTTTTCGGAAAAATGCATTTGCCAATGAAAGGAAAGCGTTATGCAGACTTGGAGGCCATTCAAAAGGCTTGCACCGGCATACTGGCGGCCATACCGGGCAACGAGCTAAAACACTCGTTCGACATGCTTTTGGACCGTGCAAAAAGCTGTATTAAAGCAGAAGGAGACTATTTCGAATAAAATTAATTTATTTTGCACCTTGTATATCCAATACTTTTACTGACTTTTCTCAACAATAGGTTCTAGGCTCTACATATTCGGAACCTAAAGATTTGACCAGAATTAAAACACAAAACTACTGCATCAATTGTTTTATGATTTAAATAGTATATTTATATATAGTTTAACAATACATGATACAATTTTAGAAGAAACAAAATTTAATATTTTTCAAGTTACATGTGGTCTCTGACTAAGATAAATGCGGCATTTTTAAAGAAAAATCTGAAGTTTACCCGAAATTTAGGTTTTTTTTTGGTCTGCCGGAATTCGATTTTCGACGAGATCAGAGGAACTTGTAGGTCAATGTATGGATAACTATATATAGAACACGCAGAGAAGATAATGTAGGGATCGCATCATTTGTCCCCGAGTTATTACACACGCGAATTTGAGATATGTAGTTCTGAGAACGATATGGTTTCTTCTTACAGTTGTAATGATGCGCATTTACTATCTCACATAATGTTCAATATTTAAATAATAAATAGCTTCAATATATAATATGTAGACATCACAAGCTGTTCGACGGATTGAGAAATCTATACTTCAAAACCTTGCCTAAAAAGTCTCTTACAGTTCATAAGGCTTGTCTGGCTTTAGCAATATGAACGAAAAACGATGTATGTATTGTATATGCACCCAAGAAAATATTTTGAAATTATAATATATAACTAAACTCATAACAATACTTGAAGTGTTCGGCTCGTGGTAGTACTCAATACAGGATAGTACACAGAAATTAATGGTACTACTGGTTTTAACTGACTACACAATCGCTACATTATTTATACATATGTAGGAGTATATCAAAAGCGGCGTATTTTAACAGTTCTGCCCACATTCTTTTCCAAATAGCAAAAGGCAATAGCGGAGTCATTTTATAAATAACTGTTTTATTAATTTTTAACCTGATATCAACCATAACCGTATTGGACGGCACCCAACAAAAGATATCTTCCTCGGCGAAACTGAACTTATATGTGGTAATTGAACTCTGCGAATTTGGTACTCTAATTAAGCGTGGAAAAGGATCTATAACAAGTCGAGAATTTCTCCCGAAACAGATTACTATAGACCATAATTTTTTTCTCGAAATATGCAGAGACGTCTTTCTATAGCAGTAATTTTTCATAGAAAAGTGGTCAGGGATGCTGTCGCTGTAAAACTCTTACCTGTATAACTTTAATGGTTAAAACTCAGATTATTTCCGATACATAGACGTTTTATTAAAATTTTTCCAGAGAAGTACATTTCTAAGAAACTAAGAAAGAAGAATAGGGCGCAATAAAAAAATAAATGCCCGATACTCTTACAACTTTCGAAGCATATATATAATTTGGAGCTTTAAAGCTTCATTAAGAATGCAAAAGCTCCGCTTAATGGTACAAATTTGCTCAACGCTTTAACCGAATTTACGTCTGGCCTTGACCTCCAAGCTGAAACGAATTTGCAACGATGGTAAACAGTGGAAAAGTAAATAATCTTTACAAAAATCGAAAAAAATAGGCACCTTATTTACAAAATTTTTTATTTCGATAAAAATGCAAATTGGAATTGCTGTAGCTGTTGTCTAAATAATTCATATCAATCGACCATTGCTTATAAAAATGCAGTCTGCAGCTCCTGGCTTTGCTAATTGCTTCACCGAAGTGCCAACGCTCGGTCTCAGAATATTATCGCCTTGTGCAAAAAAACAAAAATCCAACTCTTTCCGATGCGTGTACAACTTTTATCGATTTTAATAGTCCTTGCACTGGGCTTGGTCCAAGGCTATGAACCTTATACGACAACCGTTAGGAGCGATGTACAACAACCAAAATCCTCACCATTCTCCTTTGTAATATTGATGTTGCGTCGCATCTTCTATACGGAATATCAAAGCATAACTTATAATAATGGTTCAACCGAGAGATCTGCACAGGGTAAGCATGAAGAAATCATTTTAAATCAATGCCAAGTACACATACTTACTACTTTTGAATGATAGTGAGTGTCATGGGTGTGCTGTCAACTCCATCACCTGTAACGGTTGCAAATAGCAAGGAGAGTCGTGTGGACTCGAGCGCAGGAGAAAGTGGCGGGACTCTCGACAACCCAGGCTTACTTCCGATTAAGAAGTGGAAATCTCCGAAAAAATATGCTGGTGATTTTAAGAAAGACATGTCTGTGAAAGCTCAAGTCAACCCCAAAAGAAAGTAAATGCGGATCATATATAATTTTCCTTCCTTTGATTATACATATTTTTATAATGACAATTACCTTTTTTTGCCAATTTTTTATAATTTCCCTTTTATTCAAAAATATATACTGGGTTGAGGTTAACATTAAAAAAGAACCGTTTATCGGAATATTATAATTGTTTGCATTTGGTTTTCGATCTAGGTAACTTCCTCCTTTTGAATTGAAATAATTTCAATGACCTATTACTTTCATAAAAGCTCATTGAATACTTATAATTATGTAGTTTTTGAATAAACCTATTTTTTGGATCCTTATTGTTTAAGGTATAGGTACTTCTTGTTTTTGTAATAATATGAAAAATTCCTCAATTAGTTTTAGTGAAGGCTGTCGAGTTGATAGCGACATAAAATTCTACGTTCGGTCTGATCCCTGGAACTGTCGTGGGAATGGACATAGCAATTGGTTTTGTATATTGGTCGTCATTGTTTTAGCTGGAAAGTTTACATGTTCTTCAGAAAATAATTCGCTTTGAGTTCTATTACTTTGTCTTATTATTTTTTATGCTGCTCCAAAAATTTTCTCTGAACTCAATATAATATCTAAAAGGTCAAGCTTTTGCTCTCCTGAGTCTTCAGATTTCGATTTTCGCTAGCCCTGTTTAGTACATGATTAGTTCAGTTTGTCTACATATCATTCTCTAATATTTTTGCTCTGTTTATACCTGATTAGAATTCTTGTTCCATATACTTGTATGTTTTTTGCCCACCACACCCACTTAGTCGTGAAAGGCGCAACGCTTTTTCTTATAAGCAAAAAACCTCGGTGAACAACTGTAAAGTACATCGGGAATCGGGAAAACAAAGTATTGGTTTTGTCATACACAATAATTCATTGAAAAACATGACGGAAAGTACCGTAAAGCTGTTGACAGTAGAGGCTAATTAAAATTTATAGTTTTGTGGGTGGATGAAGTGCCAAAACAACAACAAAACACCACATGGCACCCGCTGATGCTATAATTACGCCAGTTTTTATTGCAAATTACAATAACATGGGCACTCGTACCCCTGCCATGACATAAATTCACATTTGGTCGCTTAATGATGGCCGCGTCTTATTAGCGAATACCTACCTGCACTTGTTGCACGAAAACCGCAAGGGCGGGTGCTGACACTTTATTTTGGCACCAGAAATATTTTCGCTAAATTATACTATACATAAATTAGGAAATAAATTTTTATTTACGGTCGATTTATATGTGTTTGAAATGTCAAGTATATGTGCAAAATCGCCGTTTTCTTATGTTCGAAATTAAGTGGTATTCAAAATTTATAATAATATTGCACTAAACATTGGGTAATAAAAATTATATTTTAGTAAATGTAAAAACACATAAGCTCTAAAAAAGGATTGGTTACTACATTCATAATACAATATTCTTCAGTTTATATAGCCATATCATCAAGTATGACCTTGACTGTTGAAAGCAACATTTTGCATTACTTGCATTTTCAGCTTTATTAATAATGAATGCCCTTTTCACTTATTCTACGGCTTCATCTAACTCATAACGCATTGTTCGTAGTTATTAGAGTTTCTGTGAGGAGAAGACTTTGACTACTTTACTGTACTTTTTTTGTTCGTAGTCAAAAGGACATTTCACACCTAAAAAATCTAACAAAATGCATTGTATGGATCTGGAAAAGATATGGGAGCCATTTTTCTTTATTAAACATTCTTTAAAGTTATCTTTAGCCGAAATGAATACGCTATTTGGTTTCTAATCGAAAAAAAAAGATTTTCCATTTCTATTCCTGCGGCGTCGTCCCGTTAAACCACACAGGTTACTTCATTATTTGTTTTGGATAACTAGATCCCAAACGTTTGACATGTTAAGGAAATGTGGTAATAATGGTGTATCTCTTTTTGGACTAACGTTATACAGATGAACTAATGTTAAGGAATGCGAGAAAACATCTCTCGCAATATCATAAAGATGCTATAGTAGAAAGAAAATCCTGCATTGTATCCCTTTGTAAAGAGATCTCATAAAATAGCCAACGATAGAATTTTCCATAAAAAGAGAGATGATTTTAAGTAAGAAAGTAAAACCATTTTATAATGTGTAAGGGCCGTGAAATATCATGACACTTCTCCACTCGAAATTTTGGAACATAAACTATAGCGATTATAGCAGCAGATATTTCGCTAATACCACATTGTCGGAATCTTATTGGTCGACCTAGGAAAGATACAAAAAAGAAACAAGTAAGGAAAAACAAAGTTCGGTTGCAATTGAACATTTTATACTCTTGGAACTTTCAAGGATCAAAGCATAAAAAATATATACATATACAAATATAATGTATAAAAAAAGTGGAGCACTGGCTGCCAGGGCCTACGGCGCAGTTTTGCGAAATGGGTTTATTATAATATGGGGTTTGTCACGTCCACAATTAATTTATTTTGATTTATGTATATTTTTTAATAAGATTTTCTTGCTTAAGTCCAGTTTCTTGAACGATTGGTTATTATTTCGATGATTGTAAGTAAATCTCTTGTATGACGTTTATTAGTGTATGAATATTTATACAAGATTTATTTGATGTAAGATATTTCATGATGTTTAATCTGGCAACCAGGGTTTTTCTTATGCTAATACATTGTTTTCTAAATGTAAATCTTTTATCAAAAATAATTCCTAATATTTTGAGATTATTTACAATTTCGATAGGTGTTATTTCTATAGAGTGGGACGCGCCATGTTTAAAAATATGTTATTTACAATTTTTGTATCTTTGATTTGAGTGAAAATTATATCATCGTCTGCATAAAGCGAAAGGCTTATCATTTTATGTTTTAGTATTATATTTGATATTTGTTCAAATTCTATGATAAATAATACTACTTAAAATGGTGATCCTTGTGGAACACTATTGTATACAAGTAGGTAGTATTAATTGTAACAGAGAGACGGACTTGCCTAAATCGACTTAGCTCACCACGCTGATCATTTACTAATACGTTTTTATAAGGTCTCCGACATTTCTTTCTGGATGTTACAAACTTCTTGGCAAACCTACGTACTATACTGTTCATCGTATAAAAATTACAATAAATGCAAGAATCTGAATTAAAAAATCTCTATATTAGTCGTTCAGTAGTTAGTATTAGCCATTTAGTACTATGGAAACTGTTATTACAATGGCACTTATGTACCTCTAAAGTTTGATCTTCATAAACTCCAAAGAACATAATCAATAAAGTCTGACTTGATTATGTTGTTTTTTGATATTCTAAAGTTAAATATTAATGCCCGAAAAAATTTATTAACAAGAGGAAATGCTTACCACAATTAGTATTTACTATCTTCAAATTCGTTCAAAATTATAATTTCTCATTTAATAATTTGGAAATGTTTAACTCATATCGCTTATGTAGAAATATTATCATTATATGTTTCTAAGTTTCTTCACATTAGCCCTTCATGTAGTCAATTGCAGTACAGCTCATTAAAAGGTGCGTTCCAAACTAAACAGTACAAAAGTAACAAAGTAAACTCTAGTGGCGCCATCTATATGTCGACTAGTGCGTTAGAATTTCATGACATTTCATTTATTGAAAGTGAAGTTCTTGTATTTTAAGTGTCAGTATGTTCTTGTCATCGGTGCGAAAATGAGCTTCGAACAAAGAGCCAACATTAAATTTTGTTTTAAAATAAAGTCAAAAGTGAAGACAATGCTGATTTTTTTTTATGATTCCAAGGGTATTGTCCGTATTCGACGTGTTCGGCCCGAATATCGTGAAGATGGAAGTTGGCGTTTGTTGAACGATAAGTGCAAAAAGCTGTATTAAAGCAGAAGGAGACTATTTTGAATAAAATTAATTGATTTTGTCGACAAAACCATATGTTCTGTTTTTTTTTTTTTAAAGTACTGTTTACTTTGGAACGTAACTATGTCTCTATTCTGAAACTCGAGAACGCCTCAATGGCGTTAATTACATATTCCCATCTCACATATAATATGCGTGTGTAAATAAGGATATCTATACCAGCACATATTTTACTATGCTAGCGCCAGATATGTCTGCAAAACCCAATTTCAGCCAGGTAAATGGCTTATAGCTGCAGGCCGAGCTATTATGTTGTGGGCCTGACATAATTGACGTTAAATGTGGACGATTCAATGCATACCTTCGGGTATTAGAGTCTGAATCTATTTCATGGAATTTATGCTTGCTGAGATATGTAAATGTACATATTACATAACTAATTATTTGTTCATGAAATTTCGCCAGCTAACTATAGGTGTGTTTAAAATATATATGTATGTATATGTGGGAAGCTTAAATTCTATGTGTATTTGAATATAATTGGAAGTTGCTCATCGGAGTGCTATTTATGCACAGAAAGGTATTTGCTTGAAGCATTTATTTCTCTGTAGGGAATTTATTAATTTTCGCTCTTTCAGTTGCTCACACGGCTCAGGGGATCTAAGCGTGTTTACTGAAGTTTGAAAAAAAAATTCTTTCATCACTTCCGTCCCTGCGTTAAAATTGGTTTTGCTACCGATCATTAATGAGGAGGCCTCAACATCCTGCTAATCCGGCTTTTGCCGTTGTTACTTAAATTGTAAAAATTAGTTCTAGTCTGAATAGAAATTCATATTTGAGAGAGAATCAGAATAAGAATGAGAGAGTGATAAAAATAGAAGGAGTGGTAGAGAGAGCGGGAGAGATATATAAATATCGAAGCCGAAAAAGACAGGTGTTGATGTAGATAGAGAGAGAGAGGGAGATTGGGATACTGGTCCAATGATAGAGGAAGAGAGATTATTCTTAGATGTTCGTAGATTATCCAACTCAATATCTGTATCAAAATATGAAAATAACTTTTCTATCCATATCTTTTGTTCGAGCTGTTGTCTTTTCCCTTAGGGCATCTCTTTAATGCAGCTTTCTCTTTATTTTAATGTATTTGTAATTGACGGGTATAGAACCTAGCTATTAAACTATTTGTATGAATCTTTGAGTAAAGCCCTTGTTTTGTAACCCTACAGTTAAAGTAGAAATCTGACCATTATGTTTCCTATATAAATCTGAACTTGATAACATTACATTTGCTTAAATTTTTTTTTGTATT